CACCTTTGAAGTTTGAGTTAGAGGTGTTCAAATGATTCTGTATTTTAAAAAGTTTGTAACTTTTGAATTGCACTTTAATACAGAAGAATTGATACCTGCCTGTTCACTGGTGTGTGTGTGCGCATTGTGTTTACTGTCATCGATCCTGCCTGGTGCCCAGGAAGCTGCTACAAATAGGAACCACTGTGGCTGCTCTCAGACTGTGGGCCAGTTTTCCTCCTGCACAGCTACACTGGAGTTGGAGCTGAGTAATCTGGTGGGACAGAAGCATTGGCTTCAGCTCATCTTTGGAGGGGGCAAGGCTGATGTGTGGCATTGTTCTTCTCCAGAACAGATCTCCGGAACTGGTACATTATTGTGTCCTAGGGCAGGCACCACACTGTTGCTGTTTTCTCTTACAGGATAAATAGGAAAATGGCAGCTGGTTGTGGACTGTGACATCTGAGTTTCACTTTGTGCTAAGGGAAGCCAGTGCTTTACTGAGCACAATCTAACTACTAGGAAGCCCCCTTCTGCTCACTGCAAGCCAGTCCAACAGGAAGCCATTACTTTTTTTTTCACTGTAGTTTGTTATTTTTTGAGGAACTGACCCTAAAATCCCACATTAATTAAATGAGTAAATCTGAAACAGCCAGCACCCTGCTTCCCTTTTATTTCAGTTAAATTGTCAAAATCACCAAAACAAAGCCAGCTTGCACACAAACATGAAATGGACATGTCATTTCTTTCTAGCACTGCAAAGCATCACATTCAGCATCTTGCTGCTGCACCACAGAGTCTCTGCAAGGGGTAGGAATTAGCCATATGGTCCTATAAGAAGGGGAGTGGGCTTCTAGCCCTCCTTCGTCATCTGAATAGAATGGGGAAGTTCCATTTCTCGCTAATTCTAAAATATAGTGATTTCCTGCTTTGAGGTTAAACCTTGTGTGGGTCTCCCTGGGTTGCCCTGTCTTTGGCAGGGGTGATTTTGGAGAGTGTTGCACCCCTCCTGGGGTGGTCAGGAGAGGCCACAGCCCACCTGAACCCCTCCTCTGTGGCTCCTTCTGAGCCCCTTCTATTTGTGCAGGCTGCCTTTCAAAGGAGGAGCCTTTCCATGAGAAATGCTGGAGGGTTCAGCCTCACAAGATCGAGATGCAACTTGGCCAGCACCCGTGAGCATCTCCCAGCTTAAGACCACCAAAAACAAGCAGCAGGATCTTCCAGACACCACTTGTGCATAATGCACTATGGCTCTGCAATTTTTCATGCTAACACCATAGTGAGGCTACTGGGACTGTGCATGGACAACTCAGGTTTTGCTCTGCTGTAATCAGAGCGAGTTCAATACAGTGCTGGCACACGTTTTGTTTAGGTTTCTTTTTCATAGTGTGCAGATTATGCTGTAGTGGTGGTTCCTGCTGCCAGACAGACAACCTGGCCCCAGGAACTCCTGGTCTGGGGATGGTGCCTGGGAAGAGGGGTGCAGCCCTGTGGACAGCCCTTTGTCCTAAGCCAAGCAAGGGAAAAAGGGTGACACTCTGGTCACCTGGTCCTGAAGGATGGTCACTGGGGATGCTCCTCTTCCCCAGGAGGACCTCAGAGCGCTTTGCATGCCCTCAGGAGGGAGTAACAAGAAGTCCTTCACATGGAATGAGCAGAAATCATCAGGTGGTGCCAGAGGAGCAAGTTGCACGTCTTCCCCCAGCCACACCAAAAGAAGGCACTTGAGCAGCAATGAGATGTGTCCTGGGGCTCCCAGTGGCTATGGGCCTCACAGACGGGGCAGGCGGGAGGCCTCCCCAGCTTGCTGCTGGATGAGCAGCGCTTTGGGACACAGGTACCACATCACTACCCCTGACGGGTTGATGATCACTGTGAAGTTGTCTCCTGTCTTCAGGTCACCAATGATCTTTCCACTGTACACATCTTGCACCTGGAAGAGACAGAATGACTGCCAGAATGGCACAGACCTTCACCCTGAGGTCCTTCCACAGTCAGGTCGTAGAAACATTAAGGTTGGAAAAGACTGCTGAGATCCAACCACTAGCCCATCACACCATGCCCACTAGCCATGTCTCTCAGTGCCACATACACATTTCCTGAATGCCTCCAGGAATGGTGACTCCATTGCCTCCCTGGGCATCTGTTCCAGCACAGCACCACTCTTTTGGATAAGAAATTGTTGCTCATATCCAACCTGAACCTCCCCTGGCACAACCTACCCAAAATGCAATGGTGCCAGCAGTAGGAAGCTGGAAAGAGGGGTGCAGGCACAGGGTGTCCTCAGGGCTCACCTCATATATAGCTCCCTCGGGGAAGCCAAGCTTGGCCAGACTGGTGGTGTAGTGAAAGGGCATGTCTGTCCTCCGGCTGAAGAAGACTAGGGCGCTGGCGGCCTGAGACAGCGGGCGCAGGAACACCTCAATGTGGAATTTCTCCTATGGTAAGGACAGACAGGTGAGACAGAGCCTAATGCCCACATCACTCCTCATGTTCTTCTGCATATGTCCTCCCAAGATGTATGTCTTCCCTCTAACCTTGATGATCCTGCGCCCTTGGATTCCCAGGGGGTCCTGGTTTATCTGGATCATCAGGCGGTTCTGCAAGATCTCCTTGGCACTTGGCAAGATAGTGCGCAGGTCAGTGGACATGAGGAGTGGAGCTGCCATGATGGTCCACAAGGCCATTTGGGAGCGTGACTGCTCGTAGCTGAGACCAAAGTTTCCAATGATGAGCTGCAGGGGAAAGAAGGCAATGGTTGTGAAAAGGGTGAAAAACATGTCTGCGTGTCCTGCCTGCTGATGCTGCAGCCTGTACGGTAGGAGCAAGCATGGCAAGCTTCACAAATGTTACTGCTTCCCTATAGCCAGGACATTCATCTCTGCTAGGCACTCAGGAATTGGCCCACACAAAAGCACCTGCTGATGCCCTTTGATTCAAAACTCCCTTCCACTCAGGCTGAGCAGATGAAGGACAATGACACCTGTGCTATAGGACAGGCATAGTCAGGGGGTGACAGGTATATTGCCATACCATGTCTGGGTCATTCCAGTGGCCAGGGCCGGCCGCCAGCTGCAACACGTCCTGATTTGTGAAGAACCAGTCCACGATGGAAAGCACGCTGTCCCATGAGTCCTGGATGTCATCGTAGTTCCGCCACAGGTTGCAGATCTCTCCCAGGAGGGTGTAGTTCACCTAGAGGGGAGCATGGAATCAGAAGAGATGGAGGCTGTGTGTGGGGGCACTGGACACCATGGGTGGAGGCAGGGAGAAGGGGCAGGAGGACTTGTTGGGAGTGCAGCATCTAGAGGGTGTTTGCAAGCCAGAAGGATCTGGAGAATGGCAACATCATGCGATTAAGAAAGACAGAGTCATATCCCAGTAAAACTGGACTCATCCCAGTATGACAGAACATCTGTCAAAACAGCCACAGAGGCTATGGGGCTATAGGATCAGCTGCAAGAAGGGAACATGAGCAGCTTGGGATTGATTCAGAAAATGCAAAGGGATAAAAAGCCAATGCACTCAGCTCTCAAAAAGCATTACAAGGAGAAACACCCACTGGGAAGGACCAGAAGTGTCATTTCAAGCATTTAAGCCAGAGAGGACCAGTCTTAGCAGAACAGGCTGTCAATATCAATGCCACACAAGCTGAGCATGTCCCATCGCCTTCTCCACGCTTCCGTCAGCCAGCTGTGTCAGGAACCCTGAATGGCCAAGGAAGCCTGGCAGGAGGCCATGTCCCACCAGAAGTGGAGCAGTAAGAGGCATGTAGCACACAGGCTGGACAACAAAAAGTGGGACAGCACTCACCTTGGGAGGCAGCCCCCCCTGGTAGGCTGGCCAGCTGCAGGAGTAAACGATGGGGCGGCCAGTGGCGTTCAAGGCCCTTGCCATTTCTGGGTAGCCTATGGGAGAGAAGGAAACTGGTGAAGGAGATGGATGACCAGAAGAAGAGATGTGAAGGAGGAAGCGAAGCCAAGTGTCCAGTAGATGGGCAGCCACTCTGAGCCAAGCAGCGAGTGGACAACCACCAGCCAACAATACAGCTGTTACCCTGTGCCTGCTCCTTCCCTGATGAGTAGCACCCATCCAGCTTCAGCATGTCCACGCCCCACTCAGCGAAGGTCCTTGCATCCTGCCCAATACGGTCCAGTGTAGTGCCCGGGTATCCCCCACAGGTGAGTGTGCCCAGGTCACCATAAATGCCCAGCTTCAAGCCTCGGGCATGAACCTGTGAGGAGAGATGGGGATGAGGGGATCCCAGGTGCCTTCCAGGGACCAAGCTCTATCCACTGCAGAGAGGCACAGATGTGGAGGTCACTCACATAGTCAGCCAAGGCCTTAATGCCCCGGGGGAACCTCTCGGGGTCAGGCACCAGCCGCCCCTCAGCATCACGCTGCTTGGCCGCCCAGCAGTCATCTATATTGATGTACTTGTAGCCCAGCTCCCGCCAGCCATCCTCTGCTAGCCGGTCCGCCATCTCCATGAAGAGCATCTCACTGCAGGACAGGAGACATGACCGGTGGAAACTCTGCCACCGTGGTACCTTAGGGGCCGGCTGGGGCTCTGGCAGTCACCGCACAGTGACTTCAGCCGTGCAGAAGGGCTGCAGGCTCGTTCCTTGGGGAAACAGCACATCGACACCCTGCACAGCCCGTCTGCAGCCTTCACCTTTGGGGACCTCCAGCAGCAGTGGGGTATCCAAACCCCTGGTACGGTGCTCCCTGTTACCTGATGCATTGGCGAGGCTCCTCCCGGCAGTTCACGTTGCAGCGGAACCGCTCCCAGGCCAGCCAGCCCATAGGCGGGGTGCGCGCCAGCCCGTTCTCCAGCCCGCGGGCGGGCAGCGCCAACAGCACAGCCAGGACCGCGACAACCGCCGGGACCCCCATTCCCGCTGCAGCCTCCGCCGGGGCACGTCGACAGCCTTCCTCCGCCCGGCCCGCTCACATGACACCGCATCACCTGACCGCCCGCTCCGCCTCCCGCCCGGCCCGGCCCGGCCCCCGAGCGCAGCGGGGCCGCCCGGCACCCGCCCCGCTGCCCGGCGCCGGGAGCGCCGCCGCGGAGGAAGGTGAGCCGGGCCGGGGATGTGTCCCTGTGTCCTCAGCCCTGCAGCGGGCACGGAGGGAGGGGAGGGGTCCGGGAAAGGGTCTGAGCGTGGGGAGCGTTGTGCGAGGAGGGGGCTGCTCCTGTGAAGCGTTCCGCAGCTGCACGCCCATGTGATTTGCTCGCTTTGCTCTCCGAGTCGCCCACGGCGGCCGTGCAGGCCATGCTTGGTGAAAGCGCTTTCTTTTTTTCAACTAAAACCAAAGCGAACCCACAGGAGCCAAGAAGAGTTGCAGAATCAGCCTGTGAGGCTGACTGTGATCGTTTCGCAGGAGAAAACCAGCACTCAGCCGCGTCTGCAGGCAGTGCGAGGTCCTGAGCTGGGACTAGGCTTGGCATTGGAGCCCATGCAAGTGTCCTGGGCTTTGCTCCTCGCAAATATTTAACAGTGGGAGCCATGCAGTTCTTTGCTCTTACTGTCCTTGTGCAGCTTCTTGCTCTTGTTCTGGTCTTTGATGACTCTCCTCTGCCTTTCCTTGTAACAGGTATGGAGCTCTGTGTAGTGGAGCTCCAGAGGCACTCATCAAGAAAGCAGCCGGCCCAAGGAAGACATCAAGGGGCCACAGTCTGACCCACCAAGTACATGGCTTAGGGCAGTGCTAGCTGCAGTGCTGAGTGACAGCAATGCTGTGGGATGGCCGGTGGGGCTGCACAGTCCTAGGCGTAGATGTGGAGAGGATGCTGAAACAGAGATCCCAAAGCATCTGAAAATGTTCTCTTCCCCGTGTCCTACAACAGAAGAGAAAGCAAGATGAGCTGTTTCTTCAATGCGCTCCATAAAAACCCTGCAAAGTAGGTCACTGGCAGAGGAAGAAACAAAGCAGCATCTCTGGAGGAGGCAGTGCCGTGGTGGTGGGCCTGGAGGTTATCCCCACAGCTGCTGTACTTGTTGGATGGACAACACACAGCACTGAGCTGACCGCTCCTCTGTGGCCATGAAGCTGAATGAGCGGAGCGTGGCCCACTACGCCACCTGTGACTCGCCCACCGACCACGCCGGCTTCCTGCGCAAGCGTGTGGAGCGGCACCACCACCATGGTCATCATGGCACCTCCTACCAGCGCCGATGGTTTGTCCTCAAAGGCAACCTCCTCTTCTACTTTGAGGAGCGGGAGAGCCGGGAGCCTATGGGGCTGGTGGTGCTGGAGGGCTGCACCGTGGAGCTCTGCGAGGCTGCTGAGGAATTTGCCTTTGCCATCCGCTTTGATGATGCTGGTGCCAAGGCCTACGTGCTGGTGGCCGATGGGCAAGCCGCCATGGAGGCCTGGGTGAAGGCACTCTCACGGGCCAGCTTCGACTACATGCGGCTGGTGGTGCGGGAGCTGGAGAAGCAGCTGGAGGAGGCCTGCACCAGCTTGGCTGCATGCCGCAAGTCACCACGGAGGTCCTCCTCAGGCAGGAGGCGTCACCTCTCCAACCCTGCCCTGCCGCCTGTCCAGGAGAAACAGCATGTTCTAGAGAATGGGTACTCCACATGGGGCAGCCCTGACCGCGAAGGGGGGCACACAAAGCCCCCACCTCTGCCTCCACGCCGACGCTCAGCTGCAGGGTCCTCAGTGCCCGCCTTGCAGGAGAGTCCGGTGTCACCAGAGACGACCTGCTTTGCCAAGCTGCACCACTGGTACGGGCAGGAGATCGCGGCACTGAGGCAGGAATGGCAGGAGAGGCAGAAGAGGGGACACCCATGAGATGGGGACACAGAGCCAGAGCAGAACGAGGCATGCTGCTTGCCCCTTCCCGGCTGCCTCCACCCAGGAGGGCCTTTGTGCTCCCTAGGACTCTGTACCAACGGGCCTCATCCTCTTTTCATGGATATGGCCAGGCTCAGTGCCCTGCTGTCCTTACGTGGTGGATGCTCTGGGCATTTCATCATCCAGTTTGGTTTTGTTTCTCAGTGTGGAAGTTTGCACAGGTCAGCATTTATTATTGTCTGTGATGTTGCGCTGAAGCCCTTCTGCTTTTGCTCTTTGGCTGCAGAAAAGATTGACTCTTGTGAAATGCCTCCAATGGGCTGCTGGCCTCAGGCTGCCTACAGCTTTATGCCTGGTTAGCTGCACATGAGCTTTAGGAGGACAAAGATGCCATGGCTTCGGCTGGCCCAGGAGCCATGGCTCATCATGCCAAGTGCCCATTTGATCTGACCATGCTGCTGGCACAGGCTGCTCTTCTTGGGGCTTCTGGTTGGGTGCCAGAGCTCTGCAGAGCTCCATGAGCAGCCTCCCCAGCAGGGTGGGGAGCAGGGCAGTGTACTGAGCCACAGCACAGCTGTGTTTGCAAATATCATCATTTTTTTAACTTTCAGCTGCCCTAATGCCTCATCCCTGCTGTCTCCCTAGGAGTGTCCATAAGCAAGGCTTATGGGGAGGGCAGAAGGAAAGCTGGGCTTTGATCTGAATAACGGCAAGGATCACAAGCTCCTTGAGACTTTGAGTACCTAGCTGTAGCCAAGCCTGTGCATTCCTCTGGCTCAAGTCTTCCCTGTTAAAAAAGAGGAATGCTAAAGGCTGCCTGCCTTCATGGGGTGAATTTATCAGCCTCTGCACAGACCACAGAAGGTGCCATATAGGGCTCTGGCAGCTAGTCAGATGCAGGAGACAGAGTGCAGAGCAGAGTTCGTGTGAGGTCTTTTTTGATGTGATCATGCTAGTGTGTTTGAGGCACTGTGGAGAAGCTGTGCTGAGCCACACAGTTGGAGTAGAGGAAGGACATCAGTATGCTCCTGAGAAGCGGCTGGCCCTAGGAACACCAGAGGCAAAGGAGTGGGTTACTGTGGCTTCCGAGCCCCATGTGCCAGCAGTGTTTGTATTTGCCTTGCTCTAAAAGCCATATCATCTCCTACCAAAGCCAGATCTTGTCCTGCTGGGGCTTCCCTCTAGCTCTCTGTTAGAATCATGGGGCTGACTGCAGGAGCACATCCCATATACTTGCCTGCTAGGTCAGAACCCTTAACCAAAGGCTAACGGTACATTACACAGTGCTGAGAGCAGCAGCCCAAGGACTAGAATCCTCTGTAGAGGTTGTTTATAAATATCTTTCCTCATCTTCTGGGCAAGGGCTGCTTTTCAAAGCAGAAAAACGCACAAAACTGCCTTGTGTTTATCCTCTTCTCTAATAGCATTAAGCCTGTTTTTATTGCCCTGTTCTGTTAAGGAGTGATGCTAGGGAAACAGCAGGCTGTGCCATAGCATGACATGGGTACCCATTTACCTTTCTGGAGCTGAATGAGCTCAGCCTTACACTCTGCTAAAACTGCTAGAGGTTATCAGAGGCAAAAATCAAATGGCTTCCATTAACTTTTGGTGCCTTTGAAAATCCCTCTGGTAGTTTTGGATGACAATCTTCCTGCCTAGCCATGGTGTGTTAGCATAAATCAGGTCTGACTTTGGGCAGTAGGAATGTAACCTCTACATACAAATGGTGCAATCCAATAATCTCTAGTTCATGTCTACATTTTTCCATAGCAGAGAAATTAAAGGTTGGGAGGATTTTGTTGTTGTTTGCTTTTTAACAGAAAACAGACATGAGAGAACAGGAGCAGAAGGGCAGGAGTGGGTCTGTGTCCCATCAGGAGTTGTTGGGATTCCCAACAGCAGCATCAGGACTGGTGCTACTTCCCCATTGTGGGTTTTTAGGGCTGGGTCAGATGTAGATTGCCTCTTTCTTCTTTTTTAATGCAATAGAGAGAGAATCTTCCTGATGTCTCAGAGTCATATAAGGCAGTTTGATGGCAAAGATTGACTTTCCAAAATAAAATGTACTGGGAGTCCCTACATGAGACTCAAGAATCAGGAGAGACTTGAAGGAGAAAATAAATTAACAAAGCCAGTTCAGTCAGGACTGGACCTGAAACAGCATTATTCATATGCAGGCAGTTTCACTTTTTAAAGAAGCTTAGTTTATTTTAATGAGCCAGGATTGCACCAGTAACACTCCTAAGGAGCTTATATTTAATGCCTAATCTGCCCCGTTCAAAGCAGACAATATCCACACCACCTGGCTTTGCTTTAGCAAATATTCCAGCTAAATCCTAAATCCTGCAAATGAGGAGATGGGTTTTCCTTCCTGTCTGACTGCATTTGGAGTAACGCTGTGTTTTATTCTGCAGCACTGAGAAGAAAACAGCAGAGTCATGCCAAAAATCTGTGTGCAGCCCAACAGCCTTTGTTAGAGCTCATCCAAAAGTGTTGTGGGACTTTGGGTGCACTTGGTCAGGGCTACCTCTCAGCCCCATTGCAGAGTAGGGATGGCTCTTTCGGGGCTAAAAAGAGCTTCCCACTTTCTCTTATTATTTTTTTTAATAGAAAATGTGTGGCCAGAAGGATCCCTAGCAAAGGGAGACAGAGTGTTTTAAAGCTGCAAGGCTGCTCTTCTCCTAGTCCTGAAAGGATTTTGGAGGGTTTTCCCTAAAGTAATATTGCAAAAGTGATGGGGAAAAAAATGCTTGAATCTGAATGGTTAATTTAAAGTAATTTGAAGACCAAATGCGGGAGCGAGGTTGTGATTCCAGCACAGCTTTGGTACGCTTTGCCAGTAAGGGAGCCCAGCTTGTCAAACAAAACATGGATGCAATCCTTGCATCTTTCTGGGGACGGGATTTCAGCTCAGGCCCACAACATATCACTGTGTGCACATGTATGCTTCATAAAACAGCCACTGTGATGCTTTCTCTTTGCTCTGAAGTCAAGCCCCAGAGGTAAAGCTGACCCGGTCTCCCAGTGGCCACCAGCAGCCAACTGATCGGCTCTGTGGTTTGGGATGGCCAAACACCTCGTGGTACCACAGTCACTGTGTTCACAGAAAGGGGCTGGCTCAGCCCTGGACGCTGAGAGAAACCCCGTACCGATAGGCGCCGGGGTCCCTGTGGAGGCCCACAGGAAACACTACAGGCGGTTCGCCCAAACAGCCCTCTTGAGGTGCTTCTATTTTAACTGTAGACCGCGTTCTTCTTTCTAAGGGGCGGGTTTGCGCGAGCCTTTTTTTACATACAGAACTTGTGTGTGTTATTATACATTTCAGTTACCGTTTGTATTTTATGCTATGTGGCTGAATAAACAATTTAGTATTCGTAATTCCGTGTCACCACCAAAACATCCACAGCCGCAGACGGGCGTTGCCTCCAACCGAGGGGCTGAGCGGGAAAGCCGCAGCCACGCATGCGCGGCACCGCCTCCCAGCCTCCGTTCGAATCTCGCGAGAGCCGCGAGACCCGGCCCGGCCCTGACAGCGAGGGACGATGGCAGCGGTGGGCGGGCGGTTCCTGGTGGCGGGCGCAGGGCGGGCGTGGGTCGGAGGGCTGCGCCAAGCTCCGGCCGCGTCTCTGGTGCCGTCCCGGAGCGCCACGGTCACCCGCAGCGGAGCCATTTTGCCTAAGCCGGTTAAGGTGAGCGAGCGGGCGAGAGCGGCGGGAGGGCGTCGTAGATCCAGCAGTGGCCAATCAGGGCGGGAGTTCCCGTTGTGGGCGGGGGCAGAGGGGTTGAGTGGCAGGCTTTAGGCCAATGGGCGGCGCGACTGCGGGCGGGGTGGGGCCGGGAGCGGTGTCCCAGACCCTCCGCGCCGGCCGGTTTCGGGGCGATGAGGTCGTGGTACTCAGCGCTGCTGGGCCCTTCGCCGTGGGGTGAAACGCCGCTGCCCCCTGCTGGGCCTTCCTTCCCGCGGCTTAGCCTGGCCCGGAGCTCCCACAGAGGTGCAAAAGTTAATCCACGGTGACGCTGGCTGAAAAAATGCATCATTTCTCGGTTGAATCCTTGTAGACGCCCTTTGGCCTCCTGAGAGTGTTCAGCGTTGTGATCCCGTTCCTGTATGTCGGGACGCAGATCAGTAAGAACTTCGCAGCCCTGCTGGAAGAGCACGACATCTTTGTCCCGGAGGATGACGACGACGATGACTAAAGGGTACGGGAATGCACGACCATCTCCGGGGGTGCCACTATTGGAGCTTCTGTTTGCCATGGTGCTGGGAAACAGCCCCATAAGGAGTGCAGGCAGCAGCTGTGGTTAAAGATGAGGACACGTGCAGCTGCGCTGCCTCTGGTTGTGAGCTTTTTGGTTCTTCTACATGCGAGTAGGCCAGATGTATGTACTTTCCTTCATCTCACGTGATTCCATGTGGTTTGTCCTTTTGTGTAAAATTTTAGTTTGGGTGTTATTTCTTTATATCCAGCAGTGTTGTTTTATAGTCGTGTGCGCAGTGTGCAGCTAAAAACAAGTTTGCAGAGATCTCAGTGGCTCATTAGAAACTTGTTTTTTGCAAAATGCCACCTTGCCTATTTTGTGGGAAGGAATATGGCTGCAGATTGGTATGGCGTATACCTGAAGAGTGATGTCTTTTTACTCTGTTTGCAGAACTGTGATTGGAAGAACAGAAGGGAGGAAATCATTGACAGACATAGTGCCAGCATCTGCCATCTATGTTTTGTCCTTCCTCAAGGGGACGGGGGGGGGGGCATTACATCCCCTTTGCCAGTGAAGGTCTTGCACTTCTATGTATAAGAAAAATCTATAGATCAGGGTTGAAATAAGTGCTTCATAAGCTCTGCATCCTTGCACATACAAATACACACTCCAACCTCATAAAGAACTGCGTGAGATTCCTTATATTAGCAATATGGGAAACAATTAAAGAACAAGACATTTGAGGTTTTTTTGTGTGTTTTTTTTATATTATTGGCTATGACCTAGAACTTCTATCTTAACCTTTCTACCTCTACAAGTCTGCTCAGTGAGGAGTATCTTCATATTTATTTTCTCTTTAGAGCTCTTTCAGTAATTCAGCACTAGTTTACGGTTTATAAAAGAAATCCTAAGGAAAGCAGGAGACCCAAAGCACAGCCTTGTTAAAAGATCAGAGTGCATACTGACAAAAGCACTGCTGTTGAAACAGCATGCAACACAGCACTATGCAGGTATGTCTGATAAACTGCATTATTGACTTCACTACAGCATTATCAGTGCAGTTACAGTTTTGAATAGGTTTGGTAACATAAACGGTGAAGAATATGAGCAGCAAACTAAGCTAATGTTTCATTAGTTTTATAGCATTTAATGTATGGAAGGTGAAACTGAATGCTCTGGCTCCAAGCACCTTGTAATGCCAAGATAATTCACTATTTCTGTCTTAGTCCAAATATGTTTTCTTAACTGTCTGTAAAATTCAACACCCCTTCTTTTCTTAAGCATTTACTACTGCTATTAAATCATCACACAAGACTTAAAAATTTCTCTGTTGCTAGTATCTTCAGTCACATCAGACAAGCTGCATACCAGCTGTTTTTTCAAATACCTTGAAAATTCAAAGACAAGTGATTTCATTTTTTAAACTCAGCACTTCTAATTTGACAGTTTTTTTATTTGCAGTTTAACTCTAGCTCAGTGACAGAAGGGAGGGGCCTCTTATCTAAGTAACCCCAACAGCTGTGCCTGAAGGCAGCTGGCAGGGTCTTCAGTCATTCAGCATCTGAGCTGTGCTCTCTTCCTCCAGACTCAGTTCATGTCATCTTGGGAGCCAGTCATGCCTATTTTCTACACTACCAAACTCCTCGTTGCTGCATTATTCTGCTGTGTCTGCTGTCCATTCCTGGCTGTTTCTTCAGCCCAATGTAACTAAATTTTACAGTGGAGAAATGGAGGCTACTAATCTTTTTAGGGTACAGCGGGCTTTTCGGGCCTATTGGATTTCAAGCCATTCTCTGCTAGGAAGTAAACAGAGAACAGTGTCAAAAACAAGGTCAACAAAAGCATAGCATGAATATCAGCAGGTCTCAAGAACAGTACTTTGGCAGCTACAATGGCTCTCTGACAGCCTACTTATGTCTGCTCTCTTCCAAAGAGCTGGCACCTCCACAAAGGGCTGCAGACTGAGCTCCACAACAGGGCTGCTGTGGTTATTCGGATACTCCAGGACAAACTCCACTCACTGAAAATACACACTGCTATAAGCCAGAAATCAACTTTCCATAGATACCATAACAGCTTGCATAAATTCCAGATTCAGATTTATTGAATAGGCTCCTAGGCTGCTATGCAATCTGTCTGTACAGATTTTTTTGTATTATGTAGAACTTTATTTGTAATACAAGACAGGAAGACAGAATTTGTTTCATGGATCGTGGCCTTCATAGAATTTGGACAGAAAGTCTTTAGGTCGTGGTGTTTCCGTCTCATGAAAATACCTCATGACATGTGTCCTTTGCTTCCATACATTTATGGTTTCTTGGAGATCCATTTTCCCCTGTGTAGAGACAGAAGAACTTTAGGCTGACTCTCAGGCGTAGCTCAATTCTCATTATTCAGCACTATGGAACGTAGTGAAGCACACTGAGTAAAACTGTTTAACTAATGTTCTGCTAATGAGGATGATGCCCTGCTGTTTTTGGTGGTATGGACAGGACAAGGGCAACAGGCACAAACACTGGAAGTTCCATATGAACATGAGGAAGAACTTCTTTACTGTGACAATGACAGAGCATTAGAACAAGCTGCCCAGAGAGATTGTGAAGATTCTCCAGAGATATTCAAGATCTGCCTCTGTGCTTTCCTGTGTGACTTACCGTAGGAACCTGCTTTAGCAGGGGCATGGACTTGATGATCTGCAGAGGTCCCTACAGCCATGAAAACTAAGTGATTTTTTGAGTGCCTTTAAGTTTCACCCATTGTATCATCCAGGACTGTGTCTGCAGACTTTATTTTTAACCATTTCAAGATAGGGTAGGTGTCTCAAAATGCAGGAAATCCAGCAGATGGGCACAGCAATTCTTGGCTGAAAGGATTTCCATGCATTACAACAGCAAGGATCCTTTATTGCCACGGAGGCCTCTTTCAGATCCTTACACTTGGTGAATGAACAACATTTTGAACCCGACAGGCTGCATGCCTTGGACACAGTGGGTGCATTACTGAGCCAGGAGAAGAGCCAAACAAAACCCAAAGCCCACCTCCCCCTCCAGGCAGGAATAACTCGGCTGTACCTTAATAACCAGCATGTCGATCACGCGCGGGTCCGTCACATGGGCGTTCTTCATGAACATCTCCCGCACCTTGTTGC